ATTTAAAATTGAAACAAAATTTAAAAGAAAAAATTGTCAAAAGTTAGCATAAGAGACGATGAAGATATATATATATATATATATGAATCCCATCGAATCTTTACTTCCTCTGTATAAAACTGATATATGATGTTTTAACTAGTGTAGAACTGTTTAGTAATTGAATTTAAAGGGCGGAAGCGAAGAAATCTGGTCCCCTTTCGTATTAACTTAATCAAGTTCAGTTGCCAGTACTGAGTCGACCGTCGCGGTCACAATAGAGACATTAAATTGTCAGTACAGATTTATTAAACCGGGGGTTTGACTGTTACAGAGACACGAAACTCATTATTTCCTTCACAAAGATTATGATTGTGTGTAGAAATTAATTTTCTTGTCAGTTTTTTTTTCTTGTTTTTTTTTTTTTTTTTTCAAGAACTTTTACTCTAAAACATCATTGACGAATTTACGAAAAATTTCGTTGACATTCGATAACAAAATGAAAATGACAAGAAAGAAGAAGAAGAAGAAGAAGAAGAAGAAAAATTGACGTTAATCATCGTGACGTTTCAAATGAAATTTTTTGTTACACAATTCGCGTAATCTGTGAATAGCCTCGTTCCTTTTCCAACCATAAGTTGTTTCCCATGCATCGAACAATCGATTGTAATAACTCAAGTAAGTGAAATATTTGAAATATTTGTGTGTATCTTTGGTAGGAAAGATTTTTTGATAAGAACCTAATCGATTTAATTCATCTTCGTATTGTATCAATCGTCTAACATCGTCTGACGTTAATTCATTCAATATATCGTTTAAATAATGACAACGTAATTTTTTATCGGATATAAATCGTAATTGTTTTAATTTTTCACGATTTGTCAATGTTTTTTCGTACAAACGAAAATCATGACAAATGGTTGTTGTTGTACGTTCGTTCTTGGTTGTTGTTAAACGACGCGAATAATCGTTGGATAATTCTAATGGTATTTGATAACAAACTAAATTCAAGGTATCCTTGACTAATGAACTTTTAATTTTTTCATCCAACACCGATGAAATTTGTAAACTTGGACAAGCATTAACTTCCAATAACCATGGTTTCAAATTTTCGTCTAATAAAACATCGATGCCGAATAATTCGTAACAATTGTACCAAGAATTAGCGTATACACGTGAAAAATTATTAACACATGTTTCAGCAGAAACAATAGTCTTAACTATCATATCGTGTATTTTTTTGATTATGTTTGTCGTGTTGATAGATTGTTTTTCCAAATGATTCCAAAGACATTTGATTGACCATTTGTGACCCTTGCAAGAATCCACGTTGTCGTTTTTTGTATAATCAGAGGAATACTTGTTGATACTATAGTTTGTTAGATGCATAAAACGATCGTTCAAATTTGACAAACTATCTTTGTATTTGTTACTGGCAAATCTGACCAAACCATTATCATACAAATATATTCTCAATGGATCGATACTCGTGACAAGTACGTACAATCTCAAATCAAATTTTGTATCATTTATCAATTTAGGTTTAGACAAGTAACGTTGTATTATCATACAATTATGCGTTTTAGGTATTTGATTTTTCTTACTGATTACTTTGATACCACGACCACGTGACGATGCTGCAGGTTTTATTATCCATTTTTTATTCGTACCATCAGTTTTTTTCCAAATTTTTAACAAAGAATCCAAATCGTTGGGTAATACGTAAGTGTTTGGTACAAAATCGAATTTTTTTCTACCATGTAGTAAAATCATTTTGCTAAAATTTCTACACAAACGATCCTTGTGTCCGATCTCGTACGAACCAGGAAAATGATTGACCTTTTGAAAATTTTTTAAATTTGAGAAACTATACGTGTACATGATTTCGTTCCAAGTACCGCACCAATTGACGCAACCGGTTGACAATAAAAATCCCGTATTTCTTACGATTCTTCTTACGATCATTGGCGTGCTAGTTGTCAAATCCCATTGCAAACGTCCTTGAATCTCACGGGGAAAGTATCGGACATTTTTTACGTCATACGATTGAAATTCAATGTAAGGTGATACGTGTGGAAATAAACTTGAACGAAGTGGCAATTCATTTTTCAAATCAATCTTATCGATAATCGGTGTTTTATTATTTTTTAATGATGAACACGATAATAATAATAGATATTCCGTTATCAATTCGTACAAATCTTCCTCATTTTGTTCATTATATTCATTAAAAAATGAACTTAACCTTCCGTTTGTCGTATTTGTTGAAACGTTCATCATAATTCTTGTTTAATCTTGGTATTTTCTTTTTTTACATTTTTATCTTCACACGAGAGATGATTAGAATAATTATTTTAATAATTATGTTAATTATATATTTTGTAATTCGTACATTTTCAATTTAACGATTAGTTTAACCCCTAAAATTTGTTGACAGGTACTCTGATTTTTCAAAATATCGATCAGATGTTAGTTGAATATCGAATATTACAAGTATATATATATAGATATATAAAGTATTGATTATTAACTGTTGTTAGTAATAAAAATATGTAAGAAAAAAAAAACTAAACGGGACCGGTTTAGATATAGTTAATCAAGTATTCATTAATTCAGGAATATTTTTGAACGATCGATTTTGTATCAAGTGATATTTCTTCTCGCACAATTTTCTCAACCTGTCGATACCTTGCAGCCTATCATTACCGTACGTGTGTTCCCACGCATCTAGTAACATGTTGTAGTAACTTAAGTTGTCGAAGTACTTGAAGTACTCGTACGTGTTACACGTTGGGAAAATTTTTTCGAATTTACCAATCTGCGATAGTTCATCCTCGTGTCTTATCAATACTTTCACATCGTCTGGTGTTAACATTTTTAATATTATATTTAAATATTTATCACGTACGTTATTATTATCTTCGAACAATTGTTTTTTCGTTTTACCAATATCCGACAATACGGTATCGTATAAATAACGATCGTAACAGTATAAAGTTTCATTCGATATATCTTTGATATTGTTTAAATCATTAGTTGTTAAAATATCCGGCACGTGAAAACCAATGAGATTTAACAAATCACACGCGAGTTGTCCTTTAACAATTGCGCACAATGTTGTTTCAGTTTCCATCGATGGACAATCGTTTATTTCCAATAACCATGGTTCCAAATTAACATCCAGTAATATATCAAAACCGAACAATTGACAATTGTTATAATTAGAGGGATTGTTAGATTTTTTCATACCACTTATTAGAGAATATTCGGCAGAAATAATACTTTTGATAACGATACGTTTAATCTTTTCCCAAATTAATTTGATATCGGCATGTTTCTTGAAACGAAGATAATTCCATAATGCGGTCAGTGACCACATGTTACCCTGTTGTTTGTTAAGATCGTCATTTCCACGAAACGTAGGATTGAGTTTGTTAATTGAGGTATTGGTCAGGTGCATGAAACGATCGTAAAGATTATCAAGTCTATTTTGATATTTAACTGTGGCAAATCTAACCAAACCTTCGGTGTAAAGGAACATCCTAAGAGGATCAATTGATGTTAAGAGTACGTACAAACGTAAATCGTATTTATAACCGTCTATCAAACTTGGATTGCAAATGTAACGTTGAGCCAGGTAAGAAGATTTTTTCGGTATATCGTAATAACGTGAAACCAAACGAATACCATGACCGGCGCAACAATCTCCTGGTTTTATGATCCACGTAATACCATTCGTTTTATTCATAAATCTTTTTAATTTGTTATTATCGTTAGGTAGAATATATGATTGTGGCATATAATCGTATGATTTTTTACCATATTTCTTAACCATTCTATGATAATTTTTCCATAAATTAATTTTATTCGTTAATTCACGACAATTTGGAAAATGATTGATCTTTTGATATCTCTTGAGTTTATTATTGGTACGTAAATATGTGAAATTATTGCACCAAGTACCGGACCAATTGTCCATAGAATTATCGGTCATGGTAAATCCCGATTTGAGAACCGTCAATCGTATCATACGCGGTGAGAAGTTCTTGGTATGCCACCATAGCAGGTGTCTCGTAATTTCTTCAGGTAATGACGACGCACCGTTCTTGTCGTACAAGTGGAAGATGATGTACGGTGGTACGTTAGCAAAGAGGCTATCTCGCATCGGTAGTTTCGACTTTTTCTTGTCAACTTGGTGATCGGTTCTTGATGGAAAGAAAGAAGAAGAATAAGAAGAAGAAAGATCACCATCGATGGTCAGCAACTTTGTTCGTCCTCTGTGTAGTATCCTGGTCATCGTCAACGTTAAAAGCCTTTCGGTTATCTCTTCGTACTCAAACCCTTCGTCGTTTTCGAACTCGTCATTCCTCCATAATTTGCCGTAGCTTGTACACGTTGATACCTCCTTTTTATTATTATTATTATTATTATAATTCTTGTTCTTCTTCTTCTTCTTACGTATCCTCATAATAAAAACTTCTTTTCTTTAATGATATTTTTTTGTATCTTACCTTTTTTGTTTTGTTTAAAATATGCTTATACCTTTTGTGTTTACATTTTTTTTTTATTTTTCTTTTTTCCTTTTATTTTTCTTATTTACTACGGAAAATTTAGTATTATGCGACGAAACATTCTGATGAGTTGCGTTAATTTATTAAGTTAATTTGTAGTGAACGGAATATATTAGTTTATGTGTTCAGGTATATAAAAATGTTGATTTTTGTTGATTGGATACTTACTTTAATTTAGAAACCAATAAGAAGGAACCTTTTAGAATAACGCTACGAAACATTCTATGGGTTTCGTTAATTATTAGGAAATATAAATTTTTATTGATTGTATACTTACCTTTAATCTAAGAACCAATAGGATGTAATCTAAAAGAATACTTGACAATGTATTCTTATTATCAAAGAATTTTGTTGTTATATAAATATATATTTGTTTTAAGAAAGAATTGGATAGAAAAAAAAAGACATGAGACAAAATGAAACATTTTTATTAAATTTCCAAATTTCGTCTACAATCATTTTTGTCAGCGTAATCGTCAATTTGTAAAGGCACGTTAATTAGAATTGCTTAATCTTACGTTTAAGCAAAATCGATGGAACACAAGTAACACGATTACGCTATTATAATATTATAAACGACAAGTGTTTATATAATCGATTTAAAAAATAAAAACAATCAAAGGTTATGTATTTTAAGATTTATAGATTTGTACACTCGATTTCAATATAATGGAAAAAAAAAAAAGATAAAAAGTATCTAAAAAAAATTTAATAAACAACTTGTTGTTCTAGATGATAATTTTCTTGGCAGAGTTTTTGCAATCTTGAGATCCCTTTTTCACGATTATCAGAATAGGCAAATTCCCATGCGTCTAGTAACATATTGTAATATCTTGGTACGTCAAAGAATTGCATATATTCGTGACTGGTAGTAGTTGGAAAAATTTTTTCAAATTGATCTAATTGCGTTAATTCGTCCTCGTATGCAATCAAATGACGAACATCGTCTGGGGTTAAATCTTCGATAATATCATCGATGTAATCCTCGCGATCGCGTAAATTAGCGTACAAAGATTGTTTGTGTCTTTCCTGATAACTCAATGTAGTCCTATGAAGTCTTAGATCAATACAAACAGGATCAATTTGATATTTTTGTGATATTTTATCAACGTCATCCGCAGGCACCGTACGTGGCAATTGAAAACCAACAATATTAAAGACATTCTTTATCAAGGGACCCTTAACTGCGTTGTCCAGCAACGATGATGATTGCAATGACGGTGATATGTTAACCTCGAGCAACCATGGTTTTAAATTTTCATCTAAAATTATATCAACCCCGAATAATTCGTAACAACAGTATCTGGATTGAATGTTAGGTCTGCTGAGTGCATTGATCGATGATTCACCGCATATCATTGTCTTAACAACAATGTCCTTCATGCTAGACCAGATTTTGGAAACGTTAATGTGTTCCCTTTCAAAATAGGACCACAACGTTCTCAATGTCCACTTGTGTCCAGTACAGGAATCTGCTTTATCGTTACTCGTATATGTCGAGTTACTTTTGTTAATACTGTAATTTGTTAAGTGCATAAAACGATCGCTAAGATAATTAATGTCATCGACGTATTTGACCGAAGCAAATCGTACTAATCCGTCTGGGTATAGGTAAATCTTCAATGGATTAAAACTCGTCACCAATACGTACAAACGTAAATCGAATTTAGCACCACCGATCAATTTAGGTTTTGACAAATATTGTTGAACTACCACTGGATGTTTCTTTGGTATTTGTGACCAACGATGTACTACACGTATACCTCTACCCCTAGCCGATGCGGGTGGTTTTATTATCCATTTTTCCTTGTTGCCCGATGATTTTTCCCATACTTGACGAAAACAACGCAAATCTTGCGGTAACAAATATGTCCTTGGTACAAAACCAAATTCACGTTTGCCATGTTTTATCATCATTCTACTTACGTTACGCCACAAACGATCTTTCCTACCAACTTGAAAGGTACCGGGAAAATGATTGACCTTTTGATATTCTTTCAAGTTTTTGTACGAAACCGATTTCATGTATTTACCCCATGTACCGGACCAATCGCGTGACTTCTTCATCAGACGAAAACCGGAATTTACCAATGTACGTCGTACGATCAACGGTGTTATAGTACTTAATTGCCATTTAAGGTGTTTCCTAACTTCGTAGGGTAACGGCAGACCCTTCTTACTGTCAAACGATTCAAATTCTATATAAGGTGGTACGTTGTCGAATAAACTTCTCCTAAATGGAAACTTGTACTTTTTATCTTCATCGTTGTCATTTATCTCCTCGAGTGTCAACAAATTTCGTTCGATATCCAAATAAGATTCGATTTCTTCACTTTCATCGTCGTATTGGCTACTATCTTCTAAATCACCCCCGTCTATATCGTTTACTATACTCGAAATTTCGTGGTGATGATTATATGCTATCACGTCCATCTCAGAAGAATCTGTAAAAAAAAAAAAAAGAAAAAACACACATATATTTACATTTTCTAACGATCCCATTAAAACGTTTTACTTTTATTTATTTATTTATTAATTTGTTTTTTTTTTTTTTTTTTTTATAGAAAAATGTATTTTTAGTTATTGCGGTATTTTCTTTGTAATTAATTTTTAAATTTTATTTCATACACGAATATTATTTTTAATATTAAATCATAATCCTTGAGAAGATATTTATCGATCATTCCAATCGATAATTGATAAGTACAATCTTTTTATTGAAAATAAATTGATGGTTTTTTTTATATTTAATTATGATTATAAATATTCATCGATTATTTTAATGAATGATAATATTAATTTAAGTCACATATAAGGATGATTTTTATAATTAAATTTATTCTGACCATATGTTTCAACATTTTTAGGTCAGTTTTCGTCAGTGTTACAAAATCGGTAATTAAAAATAAATTATTATCGTAGTATTTAAATATAATTAAGATTTATTACATTAAATATTATATCATGATGCAACAACTATCTATTATAAAAATACCAATTACTAAAAATGTTGAAAAATATCAACTAAAAAAAAAAAAAAAAAAAAAAAAATAAAAATAAAAATAAAATGTTAAAAAAATTTCTCTTTTTAATTTACGAATAATATGAATTGTGTTCATAAATTTAATGAACACAACGAAGATAAGAAAAAAAAATAGAAATAAATGATAATCTCACCTGTCGTACCTAAGAATGATGATTAGCAGTGAACATTGCGTTTTGAAGTTGGCAGGAATAACTGCAACAAAAAATTACAAACGAGACGTTTAAAAATTAAAAGAATAATAATAATAATAATAATAAAAGATAATTCTGTATAAATCATAAAATACACAAACATAAAACAAGTATTATTATAATTATTGTATGACAATATTTGCATTAAAGATGATTACGTTATTAGAATTAATGTTAACACGTAAATGTGAAATGATTGGTCATCAAATATGACGTCTTTGTATATTTAATTACCAATACAATTATATTCTCGCACGTGAACGATAACGTCTATGATACATGATGATGACGTTGTTACATACACACATACGCGCAATTAACAAGATTTACGATTGATATTAAACATTTATATTTAATAATAAAAATGTTATTATATATACGTATATGGGAAGTGTGACAAGTTTTAATGCTATGAAGAACAACATTTTCTTTTTTATTTATTTAAAAAAAAAAAAAATAAATAAATTCTGTTGTTATCTATTTTACAATTAGATACATTGTAAAATAATAAATATATTATTTTTATATTAATAATTTTATATTTTAATATTTAATTTTTTTTATTTTATATTTAATTTAATGTTTAATTTTATATTTATAATATACAATATAAAGTATATTATAATATATTAAAAAAAAAAAAAAAAAAAAAANAAAAAAAATCATTGTAAAATATATGTATATATAATATGTATGTACGAAAATTGATGAACGATTAATAATTTGTTGAATATAAATGTTAAAACGATATTTGACGTCTGTGTTTTTTTTACGTTTACAGTAAAATGTTAATATTGTCAATTTAAAAATTTGGACTTAAACATCGAAAGAATTGATCTGTGAAATAATTAAACTTAACATTACTATAGATATCTAATCGAAATCTCATTTACATTAGAAAAGAACTATTCCTGTCACAGTTTTTATTTCCAAAAAATCTTGACTTCAGATTAAAATATATATATATAACGGGTTCTTGTTTTTTCTTTCTTTCTTTCTTTTTTTTTTATATACGTTACATTAAAAGAACTCACACTCATTTTGATTATATATAAGTATAGTTCATTTAGTTGAACAGTTAATAAAATAATGTGTTGAAACGTTCGATTAAACAAATGTTTTATTGTATTTGAAAAGAGAACAACTGGAATTTTAAATAGCTTACATTAGATATAAGGTACAATCACGTTAATTACAAGTATATATATATATATGTATGTATGTATGATACAACTGATGTGAGAAAATCGAACAAACACATACAAACACATCGTGTATTTCAATTATTTCGATGAATCTTTTTTTTTTCAATTTTTAAAAATATCATCTTTTGTTCGAATTAAATGTATCGAAGGAAATATATAAAAAAAAGGATAGCAGAACATTGTATTGAGAGATTGTTAATTATCTAAGATTATTTATGCCAAAAAAAAAAAAAAAGGAAAATATCATACATTTGTATCTTTTTACATTTTTACTTGGCCTTGTAATTTGTTAATTTAAAAAAAAAAAAGAAAAATGTGAGAAGAAAAATAACATTGACTTGATAATTGTCAGATATGATTAATTGTCGGTTTTTTTTTTTTTTTTAAATTGTATAAGCATTTTTAATTAATCTTGTAACGTAAACGTTTACCTTGATAATTGTTTTATCTATGTAAGAATGTTAGTATCGTTTGAAAAAAAATTTCAATTTTAAGTTTGTCAATTATAATTAATAATTATTGAAACATAAAAAAAAATCATATCATTCAAGTTGATTTATTTTTTTATAATCATTTGGTATAAATAATATTTAGGATAAAAGAGGATATAGGATGATTAGGTGAAATAGTAAAAGATTGAATTAATGCTCGAACAATATCTTTTATTATAATAATAATAATAATAATAATAATAATAATAATAATAATCTCACAATGAAAATGTTTTTCGCGATATTTAACAAAGATATATCGAAAAATATTTAATGTTTAATAAGAATAATAATAATAATAAAAAAAAAAAAATATATATAAAAAAAAGAATAGAAAGATATATCTTAAACATAACAAATTAACATAATTATATAATAATCGATATACTTTGCGAGCACAAAAAATAGTTATCATATTTCAGGTACAAAATGGATCCCTATCACAGACATCTTTTTAAAGCTTTTATCACCTATTAACTAAGTAAAAGATAAAGCAACTGTTACATCGTGATATAAAGAAATTTATAAAAAAAAAAAAAAATAAAAAAATAAAAGAAAACAGAAATAAATTGGACAGTAACGATGTGTCCAAGAGTATTTACAATGTGATACGTTTGTTATAATAATTACAATAATAATAATAATAATAATAATAATATTTGGAAGACGATGATTCGTCGTTATCCTCCCATTTTTCGTTTAAACAATAATTTTTAGTTCATCGATAAAGGAGGAAAGTTGATTTATTGCTGTTGTAATTCAAAAACGAATACTCGTTTCGAATAACACACGAAGAATCCACTAGAATGCATAGTCTCGTATTAAAATCAGGGACCAATGAAGATCGATGATCCGATGATCGATGATCCCCCAACGATAGATGTTTTACCAAGGTCTCCAGATAGCACCAGTCGAGTCAATGGATTCCCCAGAAGAACTGACAACGCTTATTGGACTGTGAGGTGGTGTATAAATATTTTGTGGTATACAAACAGTCATCATAGTTGACGGTGTTGTCGCAGTACTAGTACTGGTATTAGTAGTAGTAGTAGGGGATGACATAGGTTCGTTGTAACCCTTGCTGGTACTTGGTATTGGTGAGGTAGAAGAATTATTAGACGAAATTGAATTAGAATTCGTCGTTGTAGGAGAACAACCTTCCAATCTTCTAAGACAACCACCTAGGTGCCTCATCAGTTGTGCACCTACGTTTGGATGAACAGTAGCTGCAACCGGACTTGACAAGAATTTCGAAACTTCTTGCGCGCACTGTGTGAAACCATCTCGGAATCTGTCGGCATAACTGTTTTCTGGTGTTAACGTTAGCCTATGTGCAGCCCTTAACGTTTGCAAATGATGAACTGTCATTTCGAGAATATCAGCTTTTTCAAATTTAGCCACGTTTTCTCCTTCAGATTGATGTACAGCAACCATGAGATCTTTCAATTCGTCTAAGCAACGATTGATACGAGCTCTTCTTTTCCTCTCCAGCAATGGTTTTGTAATTTTTCGGTATTGATAGGTCCTCGATACCGGTTCTTCGTATTCCATACTGGTGATAGGTGCATAACTCGTATGTGGTGCCATGATTTGAGATTATCTCAACACTCCTTTTTTTCCAATTAACACTTTCTCTCTTCTTCTTCTTTTTCTTCTTCTTCTTCTATCTCTATCTCTTTATACCATATAATATACAGTATAAAAAGTTGACGCGTGATAACACTTTGAATACGTGGTAAGATATTACAAAACAAAAAGTAAATAAGTAATATCGTGTGATTACTTTGATATATTTTGCTTAGAAAAAAAACAACAAAATATATGACGGCAACGGATAGAGGATATATGTATCCGCGTCGGTGTTTATGACGGTTCTGAGTTGGTAAGAGCGCGTGTATGCGGTATTTGTAGGTTCATCCCCCACCACTAGTTCGATGGCTGGGCCCGGCGCGTCACGTGCCCTCTTCAATCTCCCCCACCACTAACTTTTTCCTCAAGAGTTTACGCGCGCGCGGTACGATGACGACGACGACGGGTGCACGGGCGGCGGCGTCGTATCGGACGCGACCGACCGACCGACCGGCCGGCAGGCAGGCAGCCGGAGGAACGTATCGTGGGAAGCTTGCGGGCCGGAGCGTTCCCACAGACCGGGAGCCTGCCTGCTTGCTTGCTTGCCTGCCTGCCTGCCTGCCTGCTTGCTTACTTGCCTGTGGCTCCTGGCAGCCTAAAGGCCGCCAGCCTAAGGCCAAAGAAAGAGTCCTAAGGCCACAAGAGAACCTCGGTAAGACCCAAACATTGAATCTATAGAGGGGGGAGGGGTGCAGTAGGACCCTGCAAGCGGGAACCTCACCAGTGAAACAGGACTTTTTATCCAACACGCATGCACATACACATACCTGTATGTAGAACTCGTGTCGTATCTTTTACATGTAACTGTTCGTGTGCAGTGGGTATGAGTGTGTGTGTTGGTGAGACGCGGGACAGAACGGAAAAAAAGAAATAATAAAAAAAAAAGAAAGAAAAGAGCCGTCTAGCACACGCCACGACGCGCGACGATACTCGTGCCTCTCTCGTGACTCTCCCTCCTCCTCCTACTCCTCCTCCTCCTCCTCCTCCTCTTTCTCCTCCACCTACTTCTTCTCATTCTCCTCTTTCCTCTTTTAACTCCTTCTCTCTTCTTTTTCTACTATATATATATATATATATATATCCTAAGTTCGTTCATTCGTAATTTTCTATAGATATATTAAAGTATTACGTAAACTTTAGACAAACTGATTCTATTTTTTTCATTCATAATATTATTTTACTTTTTTTTTTTGTCCTATTTATCATTATTATACATTTTTGTTGTTGTCACATGTCAGGGACGTTCAACATTCCCTCTCATCCATTTTTTATTATTCAACCTGATATATATGTTAATTATAAGTTACTTAAGTGCAATTGGAATGTTTGATTAGTACGACTCATTATAATAAACGTTTATAAATCTATACTAGTATTCCTTTTTATTTCTAGGGATAAAAAAGGATCTCAAGGTTGAGCAATAGAGTTTTACGTATTTTATTCATATTGATTTAACGAATTGGCGAAATATTGTTTCTGTCTTGTTCTGTTCTGCATTGCTCGGATTATTTCGAGATGCAGAAGCAACGTTACTACCGTAGTCGCATTAGACCGGACGTATCTCTCTCCCATCTCTTCGTGATCGCATGACAACCGGTTTCCTGCGTTGGGATCGAGTCGCGTTCGTAGGTCGATTTTTCGAATTAAACGTAGGATCTTAATGACCCCCCTCCTCCCCTCCCCTCCCATCCCATCCCCTACCCTCTTCCTCCTCTTCTACTCTACCCCTACCTTTACCTGTGTGCCTCCTATTTCTTTCTTCTTCTATCTTTTCTTAAATGTAGTAGAGACAGGTTTTGCTTACGGGACTTAACAAGGTGTTTAGTCCTTTTAGAAGGTGATACCCTAAACGAGGGCCTCTGAATAAACTACGCTCATGGTATTTATGACCTTCCAGGTCTAAAACAGAGACGCACAAGTCGTAACATATTCTTTTATTTTAATTTTTTTTTTTAATTTTTTAGTACTGTAAAAATACTTTCAATTGAGATATATCAACTATGATTAATTTATTTTTTTTTTTTTTAGTTTCTTTACATTCGATATTTTGTATTGGAAAAAATTGTATTGTTTTTTTTTTACAAGTGTAGGGATAATTTGTTTAATTAGGTTGAATGTGTAATTTACTAGAAAAAAAAAAAAATAATAATCGTTTGTTAACTTTTCTGTTAGATTATTCCGAGTTCTTACTTTTTTTTCCCATTTAATTTTATTTTCTCGCATGGATCTGTTTTTATTGTCAGCACAGGTGTAACATCTCTCGAAATGACAAAAAGAAAAATATGTTTGTTGAAAATAAAATAACTTTGAAATGTGGGTGGGGAATGGGCCAACTATATTGTAATAGGATCAAGGGTAATAAAAAGAAATCTCACCATTGATAGTTTTCTTTATTCGTGTCAGGTGTAAGGGATTAGTTCGATAATAGTCACCATAAGAATTTACTTTGAAATAAGAAATTGTGCTTTCTATTCAAGTGGATTATTAAAAGAGTTGAAATTATTTTTTGGAATATTTAAAAAAAAAAAAAAAAAAAAGATAGTGTGATTTATGTGTCACAGGTGTATTGAGTGTATTGGGGGAATTAGTTTTACAATTGTCAATATATATATATAACTTTGTAAAATTATATAATTTATTCTAATGTTAAAAAAAAACTAAGAATTCCCCACGTTGTTCAAAAGTAACCAAAAATTGAAACCATATAACATATATATACACAAAAAAGTAGTATCTACGTAGAACAGAATATAAATGTAATAGTGTGTACCTGTATGTGTATATGTATATGTATATATGTGTTAGCAGAGAGCAGCAGAATAATTACACTGATTGGTCATCCGAGCCGGATGTTCGTACACGCACGATACTCACATACACATACACATACACATACATATACATACTCTTTTCCCGTTGATCTCTGGTTCTGTTGCACTCGCGCACACGCCATTGGATGCAACAAAACGAGCTTTATCCGCGCGGGTAATGCAGATACGGGCATGCTACCGGTGCAACACACACCGGGATACCACCAAGCTACACATATTATTATCAACGTTAACAACTCGTTATATACCAATCGGTGTGTGTATGTGACTTCTCTCGATTTCCGTCAATGAGAGAGAAAGATAGGCAATATATACACATGTGAATGAATAATATTCTTGTGTCAGTCATAAACGATCAATTATATTACGTTAATACGATGGAATATTTTCGATCAAGTAACAACTCTCTTCGTTACATTATCCACAAAAAAAAGGATACAGATAAGGGAGGATGAGGGAGGAAGGGGAGGATGTGGAGGATGAGGAAAAGGGTATATAAACGTATACTTTAATACATACGTGTTGTATTACACGTACCTTTGAGTCTCATTAATGTCAATCCGAATCAATTTCTGTGTTATTGCTCGATGGAAAACGATTACGTATAAACTCTCGAAACGTAATTAAAAATTGAAAAGGAAATATTACGAGTCCAATCAAGAGAAAGAGAAAGAGAAAGAGAAAGAGAAAGAGAAATGAAAATAACAAAAAAAAAACAAAAAAAATGAAAAGTAATCCTTTTATACAATTATACCATATTAACTGTTTGATTGTATTATTTGTGTATGTGTTTTTTGTTCATTTGATTAATTTTTTTCTTTCGTTAAACACTAATTATTGAAATGTTCAATTAGTATTAACTTTTTGATTTTGTTTGTGTGTATTTTTTTTTTTTCATTGTTAATCTGATTAAATACTTTACTTAAATAATCTTCTTTTCTAATATATTTTTTTTGTTCTCTCTTTTTAAGTACCATTTAAGTCGAATATTTGAAAGGTTGGCAGACATCAAAATTCCAAGCATGTATATAAGGTGCTTTCTCTCTCTCTCTCTCTCTCTCTCTATCTATCTTTATCTCTTTCTCTTTCTCTTTCTCCTTGGCTCGTGCTACGAACGAGAACGTGGGAATATTCTCAGAGAGAAGCTGGAAGCCGTTTCCCTTCTTCTTCTTCTCTTCTTTCTCCGTTTACCTTCGAAAAAGGTGGAGAAGAGGAAGAAGATGAAGAGGGTAGGGTGCTAGCACGTGGTCGCTTTATTCTCTCTCTCTCTCTCTTTCTCTCTTTTTTTTTCTTTCTTTCTTTCTCTTTTTCTCTCGTAGTATATTGTGCGTCGAACCGTGAGTCCGCTTTGTCAGAAGGAAAGAACCAAGCAAGCAAGCAAGCAAGCAACCAACCAACCGGGGTTCTTCTCTTATTTTCTCTTGTGTTGTGTAATGTAATCTTAGCGTGCTTTCGTACCATCTCCCTTCCTTTCCCCTTTCCTCCTCACCTCTCGTGTGTTGCAACCATAATGCGAGAGCTATTGTACCGAGCACGGGCCATATTGTTGGCCACATCTCGCCACTACCCCTATTGACACCCTACTACTACCGACACTACTCTACAGACACCCTAACCCTAACCCAAGTGTCCTTTTCTTATTTTTATTCTTCTTCTTCTTCTTTTAGTTCTACTTCTTCTTATTCTTATTATTATTATTTTTTTTTTATTCTTCTTCATCTTCTTCTTATTATTATTCTTATTCTCTTGTCTGTTGTGTATGTGTGTAGTTTTTTTTCTTCTTGTTCTTGTTCCTCTTCTTCTTCTTCTTCCTTATTCGATTTTGACTTCCGTAAAAGTTACCCCGTTTTATTTCCTCTTGCACCCTAGTTGATTTGAAACTTTCCTTTTTTTTTTTTTTTTGGTTTTGATAATCTTTGTATCTTTATTTTGTTGTTCTTTTATTCTTTTATTTGATATTTATTAACACATCTTGTGTTGGAAGCAACTGAAGTCAATTTTTTATTTGTTAAAATATTATTTTTATATTTATATATATATATAAAAATATAGTTCTTTAAATAAATATAGTTATATCAATATAATAATAATAAATATAATAAAATCAAATATTTATATTATATAAATGTATATGTTTATAACACATATGAATATTATATATATAATAATATAATATATAAATTAAAAAAATATTTTCAAATTTATATATCACATAAAATAAAATATTTATATTATTATAAAAGTATAATAAATATTATTAAATATTTATTTATTAAAAAATAAAACACAATGTTACAAAATTAAAGCTATTTTGTGCAGAAAGAATTTCACGTTCGAA